TCATTGTCTACATCTAAATAAAATTAATGGCTGAAACCCTGTTGGCATAACTACATATGTAGAAGGGCAATTACAACATCCACAAGAGGAGCTTTTCAACACTGTATCTAAAGATCTCCCCCGTCTCTCCCACAGTTTGTCCAACTTGAAAATGTTTCTTCATGTGGAAGCTGCCACTCACATAATGTAAAGCAGAAGTTTTTCATGACCAAAAATCTCCCCCACTAGCAGCATCAACTTTCAGCACTAAGACTTTCTCCTTCAATCCCATGATTTCCATGCATTGAAACTGATTACTCACAAGTCAAATAAGCCATTAGAAAGAAGGTAGTAGTCTTTATCTAAAATCTTCCCCTGCTACAGAAGTCATAACCCTGCCATAAGCATATTTATGCCAACTGGATTTCAGCCAATAATAAATTAAGGCATAAGAGAAGAAATAAACATTGGATTTTTCTGAAAGTTGTTTTTGAAGGATTAATGTCAAGAATGCAGCAATTTAGGAATGAAGAAGTGTGGACCAGGCTTTCAGTTCCAAACAACCAATATGAGGTACACTGACATGACAATATGAGATTTCCATCTTTCCTGTTCATTCTGTTCCTGTGTTTGTGACAGCAGCTTGACATTTAGTGAAGACATGGACAAAGCTTCTCCTCCTTTCTTCACCTCTAACAAAAGTTTAGCTAATGTCAGATTGCTATTATTTGTCAAGGCTAGCAAGTGAGAAACCACACTGCTCCTGTAAGCCTGAAATTCAGCCAATGTCATAACATGATTGCAAAATTTGAACATGGGTTATTGCCAGATCAATTACAGTACAATAGCTTTACACAAATAACTCTCTTCACATCACTATGATTTGCTAACACCAAATTCCCACTTAGACCACTCATATCAAGTGGAGAATTCCATGAAATGTTCTGGAGATTCCAGGAAGACGCCTTACACCAAACTAGATCTCTGGCCCATCTTATTCAGTACTATAAACAGAACTCAAGGATTTCAGCCAGAAGTCCTTCACACACCTAGGCAGAGATGCCAAGGATTAAACCTAAGAACTTCTGTATGAAAGTGAAGGTGAAATAGTGAACATTTTTATATAATCTATCCTCTCTTTTCATCATTCAAAAATATGCTATCATCACTCTGTCTTAAGCAGATACTGCTTACAAATTAATGCACATGTCTTTGCTGGTGTTTAGCAATATATCATGTTTTATACAAGAAACCTCACATCCTTGCACTGCACATATATGCACAGATCATCTTCATGCCCAGAATTTCTGTTCTTTAAAGGTACAGTACTATGCATACTCACTTCGGTATCATGACTATTTTGTAAATGCAGACCATGTTCATACATTATAACAAGTCATGATGTAGTTTGATGTGATGTGCAAATCCATCACAATAAACCAGTTTGTTAATCAGCCACAAATCATAAACTGAAACAATGGAGTACTGCTGGTATTTAAATGCTATTTAAACCAGCAACCATGGCTTGTATTCCCAATTCTGCACCCAGAATCAAAAGTTCATATAAAGGACAAGAGGGGGGAGAAGACAAGTTATGGTTTGTTTGGTTATATGTCATGCAATCTGTGGCTTCAGCAATAAACCATGGTTTATTGCAATATGTAAATACACACTAAAGAACATTAATTCTTTCCGAGACATTTCCATGCAGGCTGATCTGACCAAAGAGATTCAGTCACACACAAAGCCACAACATGGCTTCAGGTTTCCAGAGGTGAAATTGTAGTAATCTACCTGAACAAACCAACAAAGATTCCTGATGCACTTTAAGACTAACATATTTTACTTCGCTAAGCTTTTGTGAGCTAAAGTTGGGGACCAACTATGCTAAGAAAGATTTAATTAGTCTTTAAAGTGTCAAAAGACTCTCCAAGGCTACAAGCAAGTCTTTGCTTTCAGAAAAGCCCAAATTCTTCTAAGGGTCCAACTACTATGCCTCTAATTCTGTCTACACACAGAGGCTTTGCAAAAGTGCTGTTCATACACATTGCCTGGAAAACTGCTTCTCAGTTAGAAATCTCACTGGCCCTGCTCAAAGCACATACAGTGGACCCTCTACTTAAGGAATTAATCCGTATTGGAATGGTGGCTGCAAGTCGAAAAGTCTGTAAGTCGAATCTCCATTGACCTACAATGCACTGAAAACCGATTAATCCCATAACCAGTGGTTTTTATTCTATTTTTATTCCATTTTGGTTTTTTTCTGGTCTGTAAGTCGATTCTCTGGCTGCAAGTCGAATCTAAATTTTGCAGCCAGAGAAGTCTGTAACTCGAAAAGTCTGTAAGTCGAGCCGTCTGTAAGTCGAGGGTCCACTGTATTTGATGCACATGTACATCAAAAATACAGATTTATATTCCAATTAAAATAAGACAACAAAATATACAGATTTACCCATCCTGTAAGTGTTATTCCAACAATGTGTTCACCTTCATATGCTTCCATTTACACAGTATGCATTTTCCACAGAGCTATGGACACCACACATTTCATCTCATTCGGCACTCCTCACAACTAGGCGTAGTGGGATGGGCTAAGAGCACAAACTCTGGTGATCTTCATGGCCAAACAGAAAGTTGAATCCAATTTCCTCCTCTCGTATCCCACTATTCTAATAAGAACTGTTACTAAGAACCAAGGAATTTTTTAAAAATTATAATTAATCCAAAGTGTCCAAGAAAAATGTTCAACAAAAAAGTTTGTGCCTGGGTTTCTTAGGAATCTTGCATGTCCTATAACTAATGTTTTATAAAATATATTGGGCTTTCTGTTCAGGAAAACACAGGGGCTTCATATTGGTCAAAAATTAAACTGGCCAGGTCCAAGAATACCTAAAGCAGATACATGCATACTACCTCACATCATATAAAACTATTTCCCCTCTGCTGAGATATCTGGTACCTTCCATCAACATTATAGACAAAACAAAACCTTTATTATTTTATGCATTTGAAAACAACTGATGCAGTAACAAGATTAATAATAAACTATCTATAACATTCAAGTAATATGCATGAGTTTTTAAAATACTAATACAAACTTAGAAACCCAAACATGTTTCTATGACACCATTTGCTTTAACTTTTAAAAACAATGTTTCATGCTGTACATGCCCCCAAAAAGTAACATTGTTACCTATTTGAAAATGACAGAACATTAAGGGTACACATCCTAAAAAAGTAGAGACTCTTCATATAAAATTACCCAGGGACTACTAGAAAATTAAATGATTTATTGCAGTTCTATTTTTTAATGAATTCACCTCAATAAGAATTGTAGGAAATAACTGAAAACAAAATCTGCCAGCATCTTAACATTGTAAAAACATCACATTTAAGGATTCATGGCTTCAAATACTTTCCTTTCAGTTACTGCCAATTTCAAAAGCAAATATAACTTTGAATTTTCATTTGTTAGCCATGGAGCCATCCTGAAGTCCTTCACATCACCATACACCATGAATAACTTTCTCCCTTGTAGAAAAGGATTAACAAGAGAAAGTTGTTGCCACCAAGGGCAACAAAATCTTATTCCCATGGATCAAGGCACATAAAAACTGACTGGCAATCATAAATCCCAAGAAGTATTCATCAACATTTCAAATTTCCAGAAACATAGCCCTATTAGTGTGCAATAACAACAATTTATCTCACAGAACCTATGACATTTGCTATGCCTTAATTGTTTATTAGAATATAAGGTTTTGGACTCTAGAGTACATGCACTTCCGTAGATACATACTGTAGTCTTTATTTACTGTATTTAAAATACTTCTATCCTGCCTTTCTCATTAAAAACAACCCATTTTCCATTATTGGCATCTGTACACCAACTACATACTTACACACTTTCACACATACATGTATGCACAAACTTGTTATCACACCAAGAAGAGGAAACTATCCCAAGGGCACCTAGCACAGTCTCCCAGCAAGACCCAGCTGCTCAATAATCCTTATTTTTCTTATACATGTCTTCCCCCAAAACCAGATTTGAAAAATTACCCCAAATTCCCAACACTCTTTTTCTCTCTCTATCCCCACAGGCCAAGAGAGAAGAAATTAGGATTTAAGGAACATCCAGGGCACAAAGTATATCATACCTGCCCCATGTGCCATGTTTCACAGAAACAGGAAGTGTGGAAACCAGCCTGGGGACACGCACACGTACCCGGAACTGATCTACCCGTCAGGACTCAACAAATTGAGGCAGAGTGAAGCGACACTTTTACATGGGTTTTATATATAAATACACACATCTACATTTCATATTTGTCTATTTATACACATACACACAGAGAGAGACGCATGTCGCCTTAGATCCATACTCACACACTTACATACATTACTCTCTTTCTCTCGAGAGAGAAAGAAATAGAGGTGGTGGGTTAGAAAAAATCAAGAGGGCCTCCACAACCATTAAGGCGGACACATCCCACCCCCCACACCTGCACGCCCTCCTTTCTCTACAGGCCTCGGGAACCAGGAAGAAGAGGGTGGCGACGAAGGCGGGAGCACGTCCACCCCCCGCAGAACTTGTCGCCCTTCCCCTCCTCCTCCTCCTCCTCCTCCTCGGTAGGCCTCAAGGGAGGGCGCGCCGAGGAAAAGCTTCCCCGAGTCCGCCGCTTCCCTCCTCCGGGGCTCTCCCCTCGGCCACCGGCGGCAGGGCCCGACCCGTGCGCGCCTCCTTGGCAGTAGGCCCCAGAGAACCACCGGGCTCGAGCGAGCCTGAGGCGGAGAAGAAGGCCTCCTCCTTCTTCCAGCTACCCCCGAAGCCCCGGCGGGGGAGAAAGAGAGCGTGCCCGACTTCACCGCCGCCACCACCCCCTTGTCTCTCTCTCTCTCTCTCACACACACACACACACACACACACACACAGAGACACACATATACAGGCCGCCGCCGCCGCCCACTAGGCCGCACGGCCTCGGCCCCGCCTCACTCACGCCTTCCCGAGGACCCACCTGGGTTGCCAGTCATTCCAGCTCCGCGGGTGATAGTACTGCCTGGTGCCGGAGGAGGAGGAAGTGCCGCTCAGCCGAGACCCCGGGGCTCTGCGGC